GTGGTTTTTTGTATAATGAATACAAAATATAATATGAAATTCTTTACAGTTTCTCTTACACTATAACTCCAGAATTCTTTGTCCTTGGACATTAGGAAAATTGCTTCCGTCAGTTTACTTACAACCAAGTAAAAGCATTATTGTCTAAACTACATTTCACTATGGGGAAGCTGTGGCCATTTAAGCAATGCATCACTATACTGCCTCAAAATTGAGGCAGGGACTATTCCTCTTTGAAAAACACAGTCCCTCCCTAAGATCTTTCTTGCTGAAAGGGGCAGGGTGCATCCTGATCCCCCAGCCAGCTCTAGGAGCCTGTATGGAGGGAGTAAGGGGTGTGATTTCCCCACTTGTTAATACATTTTAAGTAGTTTGTGCACTGGATGCAGCAATCCCACAGTAAAGGGATTGTAATTGTTCCTGGCCCTTCCATGGAGTGGTACTGGGGCGAAAGCTCCTTCCTTCCTTCCTTTTCCCCCTCTACCTGCATGAGGACCAGCATAGTGTAATGTTAATCTCTCTGTGGATGTTTTATATGGCACAAAAGGAACTACAAACATGAAGTTTGGCTGATTAAATTGTTAGCTCACCTACATCATGGAGAACACGTCTCATTCCTTTTCCCCATGCTTTTAGCATAGTTGCTCTTTTTCCCCTAATTTAAAACTTGGTTTGCCCAGCCAACATGAATGGGGCTGGATCAATATATGTGCTTTTGCCCATGCAGAGTTTAACTTTTGTTATGTGCACCAATATGGAGGTGATTTGTACAGAAAAAGTCATTCTGCTCATGGACAGGATGTGGCAGAAGTGGGGTCAAGAGGTTGGGGTGAGGGCTCTAATTGGGGACTCCAGAGGTGCGTCTGCACTGCAGCCGTAACTCAAAAAAAGCTACACAATTTGAGCCTCACAAATTGTGTATCTTATTTTGACTCAATTTTGAAATAGCTTATTTTGAAATTTGGCACTGTCTACACAGAATTTATTTTGAAATAAATCGCTATTCTGAAATGTCCCTTTAACCCTTGTGGAATGAGGTTTACAGGGACGTAGGACTAGCAAGCCTGTTATATTTCAAAATAATGGGCATGCTCAAAATACATGGAATGGCTATTTTGGGATATCTCCAGTATCCCGAAATAGCTCTGCAATGTAGATGTCGCCCAGATATGGGAGGGGGCTTTGGGCGAGGGCAGGTAGTTGGAGTGCGGGATAGGGTGAGGGCTCCAATTGGGGTTGTAGGCTGTGGAGTGGGGTCGAGGATGAGCGGCTTGGGGTAAAGGAGGAGGTTCCAGGCTGCGAGTGGTGCCAATGGACTTGGAATACAGAAGGAGGCTGCAGGTTGAGGCAGCAGCTTGGCTGCAGGAGAGGATACTGGCTCTGGTCTGGAGGTGTGGACTTTGGAGTAGGACTAGGGAGGAGGAGTTTGGGGTACAAGAAGTGGCTCTAGGTTTGAGGGGGCTGAAGATGGGATGGGGCTTGGGGCTTGGGCTTACCTGGGCAGATCCTGGCCAGCACCACTAAGGAAGGCTCTCTATCTGGGGGGGCACTGTGTTGTTGCCAGTTTCTCAGAAGGGGGGGGCAGAAGGCTCCGTAGCATACTGAATGCACTGCCCTTATGCACAAGTACTGCCCTCTCGCTCTCATTGGCCAATTCCCAGCCAGTGGGAATGCAGAGCTGGTGCTCAAGGCAGGGAGAATGTGTGGAACCCCATTGTTTCCTCCACCACGTAGTAGCCGGACGAGCTGGTGACACTTTGCTGTCAGCCCCAGCACAGAGGTGCCCTGGCTGCAGCAGCTCCATGCTGGTGTTGAGGGGGAGGGGTCATAGAATCATTGAACATTAGAACTGGAAGGGACTTTGAGAAATCATCGAGTCCAGTACTCTACCCTCATGACCAAACATGGTTTATATCGTCCCTGATAGATGTCTGTCTAACCTGCTCTTAAATATCTCCAGTGATGGAGATTCCACACCTTTCCCAGGGTATGTCTACACTACCCTCCTAGTTCGAACTAGGAGGGTAATGTAGGCATACTGCACTAGAATCATAGAACACTAGAACTGGAAGGGACCTTGAGAGATCATTGAGCCTGGTCCCCTGCCCTCATGGCAGGACTAAGCACCGTCTAGAATCATCCCTGACAGGTGTATGTCTAACCTGCTCTGAAATATCTCCAGAGATGGAGATTCCACAACCTCCCTCTGCTATTTATTCCAGTGTTTCACCACCCTGACAGGCAGAAAGTTTTTCCTAATGTCCGACCTAATCCTCCCTTGCTGCAGTTTAAGCCCATTGCTTCTTGTCCTATCCTCAGAAACCAAGGAGAACAATTTCCCCCCCCCCCAATAGACAGCGAGAAAAGTCCCAGAACACACATTGCAGCAAAAGCAGCCTTACAGAGCACTACACCCACAGTTGGTAGTAAATTACTGTTGAGTGTACAGAATGATGCATGTTGACTGATGGTACAGTGTCTTGTGTGCAAACTATTACTGCAGATTCTATAATGTGTTACCTGACACAGCAAAAAGCTATGAATTAAATCCCCATGTAGACAAGCTCTTCAAATGAGGTTTGTGAAAGAAAGTCATAGTAATAAGCATCTTACATCTGATATGAAAATTATAAGCATTCATTAGTAAATTACTTCAGACATCTCACATTCCACAGACATCTTGCCAGAGAATGAGCCAGACAGCCAGTGCCAGACAGTTGTCCCCTGCCCAGTCCCCCAGCTCCCAGGAGCAAGATGATGATGCAGGGCTTAGCTGCAAGAATGAAACATCATAAGGAAAACTGCTTATTGGGAGAAAATGATCTGGATGAAGATGTGGATATGTCTGAAGAATAATGTGGATCAATTTTGCAATGTATCATTCTTCAAGACTCTCTCTATGCCTTTTAATATAACTACAATTTAGCAAGTAAATTCCCAAGCTGTTTGCTGTTTTGGATGTTGCTAGAAAAAAAAAGATAGTTTAGCTAATCCTTATGAGTTTTTTAATTTGTTTAATTAGTTAACAAGGTTTAGAATCTATTATGAGTTTGTTTAATTAGTTAACAAGGTTTAGAATCTATTACCCAAGTATACAGTACAGAAAGCGGCAGTAACAGAAACCTAGAGTTGCCTGTTGTCACTGTAATTTTCTTATTTTATATTACATAATACATGCCTCTTATTTTGGATCATCATGGTCACAATCCAAGTGGTGATGCCATAGCTAAGTAAAAAATTCCCTACTTTACTTCAGCAAAGTAACTCAGCTTTCCCAAAGGAATCACATCCTATATTTGTTTTCAGTGGGGGCCTACTCCAAAATTAAGTGCACTCTAAGCACAGTCTTGGCTTTTTTGGTAACTTGGAATCAAATAGGCATCAAAATGACAATGAGAGTGGGAAAGATGAGGCAGGTGTAAAATGTTTAAGGACACCGTATAATGAGTGTAAAATTTTTAAGGACACCGTATAATGAGTGTTGTGAAGACTGGTCTATTAGAGTTCATAACATTTGAAAATTTGAAAAAATAAGGGGTTTAAAGACAGCTGTCAGCCAGCAACTTTGGAGATTGCTGAAATTGCAAATATAAAACATTTATGTAATATTTATAATTTAGTTTAATAAAATATAAGTGCTATTGTGTTTGTGTGTGTGATTTAATTTTTACCATTCCTAATGCACTGCTGCTGCATGACACAGGTAAACAGTGTTCCCTCTAAGATTTACCATCCAGGAGCAGAGTGAGTTTTGTCTTGTGTGCCAGCAATGAGGTCATGTGCGCTTGTTTGGATGTGGGCCACTGTGGCACCCACCCATGGGAGAATTACACCTCGCCAAAGGAGCAGCTCTGTGCTTCCCCTTTCTTGCAGCTCCGGGCAAGGGGGCATGAAGCTGAGGGCAGGGGTGGTATGGACATACATTTGGTGCATTGGTGATGGGAAAGAAGCCCATAGCATGACCTGCTAGAGTGAGATTAGGCACTCAGATTATGTCTACACTACAGGCTTCTTGCACAAGAAGCTTTTTGCGGAAGAGATCTTCCACAAAAACTTCTTGTGCAAGAGAGCGTCCACACTGCAAAAGCACATCAAAAAAGCGATGCACTTTTGCGAAAGAGAGTGTCCAGACTGCATGGATGCTCTCTAGGAAGGAAACTCTGATTGCTATTTACAGAATGGCCACCAGGGCACCTGTGCATTTTTTGATTGCCTCTTTTTGTGCAAAAACCTCCTGTTGCCCGTCCATACGTACCCGAGCAGTCACCTGCCTCCTACCATGCCGATATTCGGCTCTGCTTAGGAGGTGGGTGGGGTAGAAATTTCCTCTGTGCACGTGCACCAGTGTGCAGCTTACAGGGAACTATGGTAATGAGTATTATGTATTATTTCCTAAATTAATACAAATCAAATTATCTAAAAAAATTATACAAAATTTATCCTCTTAGGGTACGTCTAGACTACAGGCTTCTGTCGACAAAGAGCATCTACACTACATTGAGTTCTGTCGACAAAGCAAGCTGCTTTGTCGACATGGTAGTGTGGACGCAAAGGACAGTTTACATGCAATAACACCTTCTGTCGACAGAAACTCTGTCGACAGAAGGTGTTATGCCTCGTAAAATGAGGTTTACCAGCGTCGACAAAACTGCTGAGTTCTGTTGACGTTATGTCGACAGAACTCAGCGGTAGTGTGGACGCAGGTATAGTTTTGTTGACAAAAGTCCACTTTTGTCGACAAAACCCTGTAGTCTAGACGCACCCTTAGATGTTGTAAAATGCTGTATTGAGCTATAAATTAATGTTTTAGTGGTCAGATTTGCATCATTGTTTAAGAAATATGTGAAGAAGTATCAGTGGGAAACTTGATTTAAACCAGTGATTTTTTTGGGTGATTAAAATTGTAATTTAAATCAGTTATTTAAATCACCTTAATTTAAATCAATCCACCCTGCTCTTTTTTAAAAGAAAAGTTTTTATTATGTATTTCATTTTTGTAGGTGCTGCCACATGATAGCAAAGCACGACGTCTCTTTGTAACAAGTGGTGGACTTAAAAAAGTTCAGGAGATAAAAGCAGAGCCAGGTTCACTTCTTCAGGAGTACATCAATACTATTAACAACTGTTACCCAGAGGAAATAGTAAGGTGAGGAAATTTAAATCCTAGCAATTCATAATTGTTACATTGTTTGAGAGTCTTCAAAGGAATGGCACAAAATGAGATTTAACATATATTTTAAGGTCTGTATGAATGGCCTTTTAAAAGAGTAGTAGGGTGAACAAAACATTAAACACTTTCCTGTCTTTGTGAACTTTATTATTATCTTTTAATATTGCTTCTTAGATTCAAATGTACTTCTTCTTACATAAAGTCCAATATTATCCTTTTGTAGGGAACTAAGAGGGACTCTCTCAGGGTATGTCTACACTACAACGTTAATTCGAACTAACTTAGTTCGAATTAGTTAATTCGAACTAAGCTAATTCAAACTAATGGATCCAGACTAAAAAACTAGTTTGAATTAGCGTTTTGCTAATTCGAACTAGCATGTCCACATTAAGTGGACCCTGAACCTGGCTTAAGGATGGCCGGAAGCAGTGCCGGCAGGGCATCAGAGGAGGACTTAGAGCGTGGAGCTGCTGTCTCAGGCTAGCCGAGGGCTGTGCTTAAAGGGTCCCGACCCCCACCCCGGACAGACAGTTCTCAGGGGTGCCCCGCTTGCAAAGCAGTCCTGGCTTGGATTTCCCGGAGTACCCACGCTGGGCACATCACAGCACTCGTCCATCAGCCTGGCTGCACTTGCCACAGGCTGCCATCTGGGGAGAGGGGGCAATTGGGGGGCTGCAGGAGAGCTTCCACCCGAAAAGCCCACAGAGCCAGCCCAGTCCTCCCCATC